TAATCAAAATTAATTGCAAAATCCAGCAAAAGTCACTCATGAAATAAAATAATTGTTTATATGGAAAGTAACGACCTACACACATCAAATTGTCTTTAAATTAAATGGCGGCAGAAGAATTATTGTTGAACTTTTAAAAGGTAAGCTTAAATATTAATGCAATACTTAAATGCAGAAATCAATTTTGAGTTCATCTGTAGTTTATTGTTTATATGGTAGCATTATGCCTCACAAAAAGAAATCTCTGCCAACAAAGACCAGATTGCAATCAAAATAGCCAAGGCTGCAGTGAGGAAAAGAAAGTCCTGTGTAAACACCCAGATCAAATGGCAGCCAGGAGAGCTTCCAATGCTCAGAATATGCAAAGACTTAGGGACTCTCAAACTCCTAAACAAGCCAAAGGCCTAATAAAGAGCCCTCCACAGGAGCTAGCTTAAATTCTGCCTGATAGGGTGGTTTTAAGCAAGTTTAAAAATAAATCTCACTGGACAGTGAATACAAAAAGAACAGAGGAAATCAATGCATAATCTAACTTGTGAGCTTCATTAAATAGATGGCAGAATATGGTTTAAGAGAGATAGCAAAAGGACAAAATTTATTATGATTTACAAAAGTCAGGAAATTGTGGAGAGTCATGATCACCAATGTCCTGAAGGAACACAGCATATAGAAGAAGAAGAAGAAGGAGGAGGAGGAGGAGGAGGAGGAGGAGGAGGCAATAAAATGTTATATATACAATAATTTTTGTAATTTTATTTCCATTTGAGAAATATTATTAACTTTGTTAATAGTTTCTTTTATCACATTCCTTGCTTGTGGAACTCTTTTCAGGCCTCCTGGTTTCCAGTGAATTTTGATTTTCAAAAATTTAAATGCAATGCTATCTACTATCTTTTGTCTTCTTAATTCTTGTTCTTTTATCATTCTCCTCCTTTTTTTATACTCTTATTATTTCACACTCAGTAACCCCTTGGGATGAAATGAAAAAAATGCAAAGTAAACTCAGAGGTTTAAGTTTGAAGTCAAACACATTAGGAAGCAACTTTGTGAAAAATATCAAGACAATATTTATTTTTTTCCTGGGTGTGGTCTGATGGATAATGACATGGAGAATGGAATCAACAAGTCAAGTTCAAATTTCAGTGGGTGTACTTTCTATTCACTTTGCACTCATTCCTTGGAATAAGAAATCAAAGAGCCAAGTTCAAATTCTAGTCAAGTTAGTTACATTCACTTATGTCCAAAAAAACTTCCTCCACCCTCCCTCCAGCTGTAGGTGAAATAGTATAATATGTATCTAGAAAAATCATTGTTATTCTCAAAAAAATTGTTAATGCAATATTCACTTGCAAAAATAAAGAATTATTCTTACAATCTGGAAAATATCTTTTATCTTTAAATAACCCACAAAGGTTTGATAAGACATAAAAATCAAGCCAACAAATCACACTAATGTCCTTGTGAAAACATGAATCAATTTTTCCCTCCCATGTCCCACAAGGACTCTGTAATAATAAACAACATTTATTTTTCTTGAGTGATTTTTGGATATGTGTTCAGCAATGATTCTTCAACAATATCATTGATTTAAAACAAATACATGCTATTAGTTGTAACATTACTTTGTAAATAATTTCGGTCATATATTGAATGAAAGAAAATGGCTGACAAGTCCTGAAAATACAAGGTTATAATAGATTCCATGTAAAGTTTTAAATAACCTTAGTACAATATGTAATAAAATCAATCTGTAAAAATTAAACAAAAGAATTTATTAAATTTTTAGGATAGATTTTTTTTTTTGATAATATTAAATCTTTAACGAACACATCATCTCTGCCAGAATTTTTTGTGATGAAGAGATATCAGGATTCATATTATTTACTTTTGAACGAATGTCCTCATTTTTGTTGTTATTATTTGACTGTTAAAAAGAAAAAATAAAGATATAATCAAAATGTTGACATTTCACCCTATTTTAAATAAAAAGTTAGGAAGGAATACCCATCAATACTAGAAAGAGTGATAATAATTACTGGAAAAATTGTTTTAAGAGAAGGATTTTATGAATTTTAACTGACAATGGCACTCACTGCTTGGTCAATGAATGCCAAATTTTTATCTTATAAGGAAATGGCTATTATTAACATCAACATTCCTATTATGAGTTTATTTATACAATCGGTTTTTGTTAAAGTAGGTCCCTATATCTATTTTTGTAGTTTTTGTATAATTAGGATTTGTTATTGTATTTTCTCTTCACCTTCTATATGTAGCTATGGAATTTTTATACATTTAAATCAATTACAGAGTGAAGTCTACTCCAAAATTGACCAGTTCTAGCAGATTTAGAAAAAAAAGTGCTTAATATATAAACTGTAAAGTAATTCTAAGAACATTTCCTTGCAAAAAAAATATAAATACCTCACCTGCTACTGTAGTTTTACATTTTGGATCTTCAGGCTGCTTTGGTTATATTTACTTTTTTTGAACCAAACCAGGCTGAAAATTTGAAAGTTGAAGCAGCAGTAGCAGGCGAGGCATTTAAATTTTTTCAAGAAATGTTCTTTAAAAAAAAATACACATGAAAATTCCAGTTTGACTGTTTAAATGACGTCACCTTGACTGACTTGAAATTGGTTCCATCAAATGTGAGAATGCCAGAATTAACCAAAAACAGTTGTACAAACTTACACAAAACACAATCCTTGAATAAAAATGTAGCCATATTCAAAAGTACCTGGGAAAAAAATAATATAAAATGAATATGAACTTGAACTTTGATTAATTCACCAATTACATAAAACAACTAATTTGAAAATTTGAAAAAGTTAATAAAAAATTTGATAGACAGAAACAAGTTTGAAAGAATTATTGCTGCTGAAATACACCTCATGCTCCTGAAAAAATTATTTCAGTTGAGCTCTCTGGGGAGGAAGTGTGGGTTTGTAAACAGTGACTATTATGGCTAATAATGCAAGACTCTTCATTAAATTGAATTGAGTTCTTTCAGTCACTGTGTGTTTACTTAAAAAATAAATATGCTTAAATTCATATTCATCCCTGCTGTGCCCCAATGGCTTAGTGGTAGAATCCTTGACTGAGGCCAATTCAGTCGGATTTCAATCCTAGCTAGAGGCAACTGGATGTCTGATCAGCTGTGATACAGCGAAACAGTCTGTCTGTGGATGACAATATATATATATATATATATATATATATATATATATATATATATATATATATATATATATATATATATGTGTGTGTGTGTGTGTATATATATATATATATATATATATATTTATGTTCCATTATTTCACACCAAGTAAGGTGATAATACCACTAAGATGCTAAGGGTTACTGATAATGAAAGAGAATGAGAAAACTTTACTGATGAGAAAGTACAATAAAAGAATATGACTCAAGATGAGGGAAGGCAACTAACATTGCATTTAATTTTTTTTAAGTTGTAGCTGGCATGGAAGAAAAAAAGTTGGCCCCTTTAACATGCAGCATGCAGGCCAACTGGTGTGTGGATATGCCCTGGTGCCCATGAACCAAACCCCAACTATGGGTCAAATAGCTCCACTGCCTTGTGGAAATCTTTGAGAGAAGGAAAGGCCAAGCAGTAAACCCATACACAAATCTGGAGCGGATGGACGGCACTCTGTGCTACCTTCTGGCAACTCCTGCAGCAGCGCTGGTACCAAACTGTATGGGTTTATCCTCTCCTTTGGACTCTGCTAGCAAGGCTGAGAGGGGGAACTAGATGTCCGGGCAGCCCTAGTTCTCCATACATCCTACCCAGGCTCGTAGCACACTGGAGAAGACATTCCAGCAACATCGCAAGACATTGGCACAACACGGGAAGTGACAGTTACTGGTCAAAAGCCCAACCTGATTGGTGTACACTATGGGTGCCACAGCTTGCCTGCTCTACTGGGTGTGTAGGGCTCAGGGACTGATCCTCCTGAGAAGCAAGCTGTAAATCCTGCACCAAGCAGAAAAGAAAGAAACATGAAAACTCCAGCACTTTAATTTGCTAGCTGGAATGTCCGGGCCATGCACCCTGGATTTGCAGATGACATCCAACAGATCAATGATGCTTGAAAGACAGGGAACTCTCAAGACTGGGCATTAACATCGCCTGCTTGCAAGAGACTTGTCTGGCTGAAAGCGGTTCCATCAGAGACCTAAGGTATCATGGCGTAGGCTTTGCTGTGAAATGCCAACCATTGAACCACCAACTGGTGGATCTGAGAGAATCCTAGCACTGTGCCCCTCAACATTTACAGGTTTTGCCAACATCCTCTGCATCTACACGCTAATGCTCTGTGCCACTCCAGAGGTCAGGGACCAGTTCTATGAGGCACTGGATGAGATGATATACAGGAACCCCAATACTGAAGGATTATACCTATTAGGAGACTTCAATGCAGGAGTGGGAGCTGACTGTGACACTTAGCCCTCCTGCCTCAGTCATCAGGGCATAGGCAAGATGAATGAGAATTGACAGTGGCTGCTGGAGCTGTGCTGTCACCACGGACTCTGCATGATGAACACCTACTTCAAGTGCAAAGAACGCCACAAAGTCTGTTGGAGACACCCGCATTCACGACACTGGCACCAGCTCAACCTTGTCATCACCAGGCGTACAGACCTAAGGAGTGTTCTTCACACTCGGAGCTTCCACAGTGCAGACTGCAACACAGACCACTCCCTAGTAGGCTGCAAAGTGAGACTGACAGCCAAGAAAATACACCGAAACCAAGAGCCTCCCTCACATCAACACCTGTTGCTCCAATGACCCTGAGAGTTCTCACCGCTTCCAAACCACTTTTAGTGTGAAGGTTGACACATCCTCCTTCAGTGCCACTGACATTGACAGTAGAAGGCACTACCTCTGTTATGCCATATATACCTCAGCCCTTACTGCGTTCGGGAAGAAGGATTGTCGAAATTTGGACTGGTATGAAGCTCACTGGGATGATATGCAGTCAGCCTCTGAAGCCAAGAGACAAGCACTTCTGGCCTACAAGCAAAACCCTTGTGTCAGTACCCACGATGCCCTCAGAGCTGCTTGCAGCAAGGCCCAACAGACTGCACGCCACTGCACCAATGACTACTGGCTGAACATGGGCAGCAGGATCCAGACGGCTGCCGACAGTGGAAATACAAGAGGCATGTACGCCGGCATCAAAACTGCCACTGGCCACACTCTTATCAAGATGGTTCTGCTGAAGTCCAAGGCAGGAGAGGTCATTACAGACCAGGGCAAGCAGCTGGGTGGAGCACTTCCTGGAGCTGTATGCAGCCCAGAACATGGTGACGGATGCTGCCCAGGATGCCTTGCCCAGTCTCCCAGTCATGAAGGAGTTGGATGCTCGCCCTCTGCAAAGGAACTCAGAGAAGCCATCGACTGTTTCTCCTACAGGAGGGCCCCTGGGAAGGACAGGATCCCATCGAAGGTTCTGAAGAGTGGCAAGCCAGTTATGCTGTGGCACCTCCACAAGCTCCCGTGCCTGTGCTGGGAGAAGGGCCACGTCACCTGGGACATACGAGATACCAACATTGTCACCCTCTATAAGAATAAAGGTGACCGCAGAAACTGCAATAACTACCGTGGCATTTCCCTCCTCGGCATCGTCGGGAAAGTCTTTGACCGCGTCATCTTGCCACATCTGCAGAGCCTTGCCTCCTATGCGTACCCTGAGTTGCAGTGTGGCATCAGGGCGATCCGATCTACAGTGGGCATGAGAAGTGCCATGAGCAGCAGAAACCACTGTATATTGCCTTTATTGACCTGACGAAAGCCTTTGATTTGGTCAGCAGAAGCGGACTTTTCAGCCTCCTGGGGTGGAGGGTAGGATGACCCGCAAGATTGCTCCAGATGGTCAAGTTCTTCCACGAGGACATGCACAGCACAGTCTGCTACAATGGCAGGACATTCGACACCTTCCCTGTGAGAAGCGATGTAAAGCAGGACTGTGTCCTCGCGCTGACACTCTTTGGGATATTCTTCTCCAGGCTTCTCCAGTACACCTTCTGCGACTGCACGGAGGGCATCTACATCAGCACTAGAGCAGACGACAAACTCTACAACATTGCCTGACTGTGCACTAGGACCAAGGTCCGTGAGTTCCTCATTCATGAGATGCTGTTTGCCGCTGATGCTGTGCTGACATCCCACACGGAGGACGGTCTGAAAGAATTAGTCAGCCGCCTGGCCCATGCCTGCAAAGAGTTCGGCTTGACCATCAGCCTCAGAAAGACCAACACATTGCCTCCTCCCTGGACGTTGCCATCAATGGCACACACCTTGAGGTGGTGAACTCCTTCACCTACCTCGGGTTGATCATCTTCAGCTCCCTCTCCCTGGACACCGAAATCAGTTCCAGGATAGGGAAATCCGCTGCAGTCATGGCCAAGCTAAACAAGCGTGTCTGGAACAACAGCCAGCTGATGGAGAACACCAAACTACAAGTCTACTGGGTCTGCGTCCTCAGCACCCTTATGTATGGCAATGAGTCCTGGACAACTTACGCCAGTCAGGAGAAGAGATTAAACACCTTTCACCTCTGCTGCCTCGGACGTCTTCTGCACATTAAGTGGCAAGACTGAGTCACTAACACAGATGTCCTCCAACGTGCCAGCATCCCCGGCCTGTTCACGCTGCTCTGCCAAAGACATCTCAGATGGCTGGGGCATCTACGTCGCATGGGTGCTGGCTGCATCCCAAGAGTCATCCTGTATGGAGAGCTGTGTGGGGGGGTCTCGCCCAACTGGATGACCTCAGCTCCGCTTCAAGGATGTCTGCAAACATGACATGAAGCTGGCTGACATTGACCCTAACACATGGGAAGCCATGGCTGACGATCGTCAGCTTTGGAGAGCCACAGTCAGTGACGTTGTCTCGATTGCAGAGGCCGTGAGGGAAGATCAGCAGGCAGCAAAAGAGCCAGGAGAAAAGCAAGGACAGTGTCTGTCTCCATGTCATCCAGTTTCATCTGCCCCAAGTGCTTGAGAGACTGACACTCTAAAGTGGGACTACACAGTCACCAGAGTCAATGTAACTCCATCATCTAGAATTTTAAAAAGAAAAAATAAACACTACTCCATCGTCTCCCGAGACAGACGGATGCCAAACCGATATATATATATATATATATAGGTAGCATATATAATTTAGACATGTCTATTTTTATCCTAATCCTTTCAAATTCACAGAATATTAATTGACAATACAGGTATACTCCACCATGAAAGTAAAAACTTCAAATTCTTGAAGTACTCTATATTAAAAAAATGCAATCAATACTAAGTAAGATTAATTTTGAGTATAGCAACAATGTTTTCTATACCTATAAAAGCGATGTTTTGGGATACTCAAATTGTAAAAAAAAAATTTTTTAAATTGCAGGTTGAGCATTTTAAAACATTAATAATAATAAACATAAATTAAGTTACCTCCCTTACATATTCTTACCAGTTAATTTTTAAATTGACTATAACAAAACGCATTTCATGCGCATTTACAAAAAATTCACAATTATCAATTACATTAATTTTTGTTTTGGTAATTCACCCCTGACGATAATCTTGGATGAGATTGAAAGTACTTGGGAAAATAAAAGAAATGAAAAAAACTACAGTGTTTTTCTTAATAAATTTCATAACAACACTAAGAAATTGATCCATAAATATGAGAGGATTAAAATAAAAATAAATAGACATAATATGTCTAGATTATTCAACCAAACATGCTTGAATATATATATATATATATATATATATATATATATATATTAGTGATTTAATTCACTACTCAGTTGTAATTAATCTAGCAGGAAAAGCTTGCTAACCATTACACCACATCAAAGTGCCCACACTTAAGTATGCATTTCAATGCTTCATTTTGTGTGGCACAAGAACACAATTGGAGAGCAAGCAGTGAGCTTACTAGTATAGTTATATGACCACAATATATGAAAAATTTTATATTTCATACAGTTCCATACATGTTTAAGTTACTTGGAGATGCTGTCTTTCACTTAATCCTAAATGTTGGGTAAATTCTTTGCTTTCTTTTAGATGTAAGGAATTTAACATCAGACAAAATAATTTTTTGGATCACGTAAGAAATAATATGTGTAATTATGTTAAAATGAAATCCACATTTGAAAGTAAATTAATCTGGATTGTCTCATTCATTGAGTTTAAATCCATTTTATTTAGGATTATTACAATGATACGGTTTTGCATTAGCACAGCACACAGATAATCCCTAAAGCGAATAATCTGTGTAGGATAATTGGGATCACACACACACCCACACACACACACACACACACAGATATGTGTGCATGCACAGACACACCAAAATCTGTATAGAGTTATTTAGACATAGTTTTTCATTTTTACTTTTTCTTTTTTAATCTTTTCATCTCAAGCAAAGTAATGAAGCCACTAAGATGCAAGGGGTTATGGAGTCTGATGGAAACTGAGAAAATGTTGCTGAAGAGAAAGGACAATAAAATGAACAAAATTCTAGGAGACAGGATATTTTTTTAATCATTTCACCCCAAGGAAGGTGATAAAGCCACTAACATACAAGCTGTTACTGCGAGTTATGGGAACTGAGAAAATGTTATTGAGGAAAAAGAACAGAATTCAAGAGGACAAAAATGACGATTAAAGCTGTCTTTGTAGTTTTAAAGATCATAGTTGATATGAAAGCAAGAAACAGAAAGAGAGTTCCACCAGCAGGAAGTATGAGAGAAGAAACTATTAAAATAGAAAATGTTCACCCACTTCAAGCTCCAAGAGCCACTCAAGGTAGGGAGTTGCTGAATGAGGTTTTTGTATGACTGTAAGAAGAGAAAGTAAGTGCAAATAATGAGGATATATAGAATAGATAATGGTTGATTTTATACTTAAAATTACAGCGATCACGAAAGCATTCCTTGGGTGTCCGTTCCAGAAAATAACAGTCAAAAAATGGTATAGTAATAATTAAAAACATGGCCTGTTCATGTAATCTTATGATAGCTCTATTTTTTCCATAATAAGAGTATTAATTACTAAGCACTGAAACATGTGCATTTTCTAAAGAACATTTCTTGAAAAAATTTAAATGCCTTGCCTGCTACTGCTGCTTCAACTTTCAAATTTACAGCCTGGTTTGGTTCAAAAAAAGTAAATATAACCAAAGCAGCCTGAAGATCCAAAATGTAAAACTACAGTAGCAGGTGAGGTATTTATATTTTTTTTGCAAGGAAATGTTCTTAGGATTACTTTACAGTTTATATATTAAGCACTTTTTTTTCTAAATCTGCTAGAACTGGTCAATTTTGGAGTAGACTTCACTCTGTAATTGATTTAAATGTATAAAAATTTCATAGCTACATATAGAAGGTGAAGAGAAAATACAATAACAAATCCTAATTATACAAAAACTACAAAAATAGAAATAGGGACCTACTTTCAATAGTATAAATAAACTCATAATTGTAATGCTGATGATAATATTAACCGTTTCCTTATAAGGTAAAAATTTGGCATTCATTGACCAAGCAATGAGTGCCATTGTCAGTTAAAATTCATAAAATCCTTCTCTTAAAACAATTTTTCAGGAAAATAGGTTTCTCAAGTCCACTGTTATCACTCTTTCTGGTATTGATGAGGGTTTTCTTTCTAACTTATTATTTGAAGTAGTGTGGCAGATAATGAGAAAAGAGGGCTTGGAGAATTTGAATCAAGGCATGCTGAATACAAGAGGGAAAGCAGCAATACCTAACAAGCTTGTCTAAATAGTTTACAGAACTGGGACTAGGAGGGATATCAAATAGATAAAATTAACTAAGAGCTATAAAGAACAGGAAGTTATGGAGAGCCATGATCACCCACAGCCTGAAAGGACATGGAACATAGAAGAAAAAGTAATTGTGAGTTTAATCCCTAAACTGGGTCATGCAAACTTAGTAAAAACAGGACAAGCAGTAAATGGACATTACTCAATATGAACAATATAATACTTAGACTTGGGAAATTTTAGATGAAAGTTTATAAGAATTTTTGTGTTAAATTTTTGTCTTTCAGCCTATCACAAACAAATTTTTAGTTTTGAAAATGACAAAATGGTAAAGTTGAGGTTAAGTCAATGGTTAATGAATAAGAACAGCCATTAATTATTTTTTATTTTTTTTATTGTCTTGAAAGAGTGAGGTCAAATATTTATCTATCTCAAGTCCTGTCCCTCTCAACTAAAGAGTATGAGGCCAAAGCCTCAAAACACTAGGCAATTTTGTTGCTGCCATCTCCATCACAAGGAGATTAGTGATGAAATGGAGTTGCTAGCTCCACACATAGCCAGTTTTGCTTCTCCTAGACTGGTTGTCAACCAAGGCTGAAGACCTCATTCTGCCATACTATTTAACATATAACTGGGGGGGGGGAGTTCAAATATAGTGAGTTCATTTGTTTAGCCATAAATACAATCACCCATCAATGAAGGAAAAATAAAGTATGTGTGAATATGATAAATACATGGAGTAAAGATAAGAAGAATAAAAGGAAAATTAACAAGACTTTGAACATGTTTTTAACTGAGTTAGAAACATCTCAAAAGAGGAAATTTGTTTTCGTGGAAATTAATAATGTAAAAATAAAATTACAACTGGAT